CTTTCTGGTTCAGCCCTTTCCTCCCGGAGGGATGGAGAGTCGCCTGAGCCCAGAGCTGGAGTCCAGACCCGGACTGAGCCGGAAGGAAGGGGCCTGGGAACTTCCTCGGATCACGCGGGGCTGGGAAGCTAGAGAGATGGGAGTGAAGCCTGGGTGACCCAGGCTCCTTCGGAGTACCCGGGCGCTAGGCAGAAGGGACCAGCCTGGGGCTCAGGTGCGGGAGGGGCAGGGAGGATCCAGCAGTCCGAAACACGGAAACCCTTTTTCCGGGGTCCCGGCGCGCGCCCGGGTGAGGCCACTAACTGGGGTTCCCTCTCCCTTCCGGTGCCCACTGGGCGGGGTGGAGGAACCACCCGCCCAGGTGACCTCCGTTCGGGTTCAGAGACGCCAAGGGACCCACCCCGAGAGCACCTGAGCTCTCGGTGGCCTTCATCCTGGCTAACGGAAGACAGGGTGCATTGACTGGGCTTGACTGCTGCATTTTGACACAGTGATGGAGGCGCGAAGGGCTTCTGTTGGGTACCCGGGAAATTCGTGAGCAAAAGTGGGATGTTAAGCGGGTTTTTCCAACACGACATGCTTCCCGGAGTGGATACCCACCCCCACCAACACTGTGTCTCCTCTCTTTTTCTTTCCCGCGCTGGCTCCACCGTCTTGGTGCGCTCAGGAGCTGGCGACCTGACAGGCGACCCCGTTGGGTACATAACGGGCGTGCTGGCGGTGTTGGTGCACGCAGCCTACCTGGTGCTGATCCAGAAGGCGAGCACAGACACGGAACACGGGCCTCTCACCGCACAGTATGTCATTGCGGTCTCGGCCACCCCTCTACTGGTCATCTTCTCCTTCGCCAGCACCGACTCCATCCACGCCTGGACTTTCCCAGGCTGGAAGGATCCGGCCATGGTTTCCATCTTTGTGGCCTGTATCCTGATCGGCTGTGCCATGAACTTCACCACACTGCACTGCACCTACATCAACTCTGCAGTGACCACCAGCTTCGTGGGCGTGGTGAAGAGCATAGCCACTATCACGGTGGGCATGGTGGCCTTCAGCGACGTGGAGCCCACCTCTCTGTTTATTGCCGGAGTCGTGGTGAACACCCTGGGCTCCATCATTTACTGTGTGGCCAAATTCGTGGAGACCAGAAGGCAAAGCAACTACGAGAATTTGGAATCTCAGGCAGCAGGAGAGGAACCACAACCAAGTGGGGACCAGCTGCCTTTTGCCATGGAGGAGCTGCCCTCTGAGGGTGGAAATAGCTGGCAAGAGGGTGCACAAGGGGCAGGTGGCTCAGTACAGCAAGGTGGGCAGGAGGCAAGGGGCAGCCCCAGAGGCGTCTCTCTGGTGTCTGGGAGCTCACGAATAGAAGAGCATTCTGATGACGTGGGTAGGAGATCTCTGAAGGATGCTTACTTGGACGTATGGCGGTTGGTTAGGGGAACTAAGTACATGAAGAAGGATTATTTGGTAGAAAATGAGGAGTTACCCAGTCCTTGAAAATGACATGCATGTATGTACATATGTACATACGGTGATTCTATATGGTAGAAATAATGTCTAAGGTGGGGCCTCCAGTTTTATTCTGAGGAGTAGGGGAAGAAAAGCAAAGATAAGTTGAAAGGGACAGACAGAGACGAATCAGCACCTATTTATTATTTATCTAGTGGGACTTTGCCTGGGGTGCCACAGAAGGACGACACCCGTGCAGGTGCTTAACAAAATCAAAAGTGGTTTCAGCTTCAGACTCCTGGACATTTGTTTTTTTTTTTTTGTCTTTATGATGGTAACCAAATATTTGCATGTACCAAGTGTCCCTCAGCCTTCCCTTCCAAAGACGGCTTGTAGCATTGATGACATCACTTAGTAAGTTCAAAGATCACATTCAGGGGCACATTTCTGATGACAGACAATAGTTTTTATTGCCTGTGAGGCAAAGAGTATATTGTTGAAATGACATTTATAAATACACTGAATTGTTTACTCCTCGGGTCATCTGCAATATCGTGTTTACTCGAATATTCCTTCCTTCATTTTTTAACGAGTATTCTATTATTCTATTACATATTAATAGGAAATGTTGAAGCTATTTTGAAGACGTGTTCTTAGCTTTCATTATGAAGTCTAAAGTTTGCTCTTTGTAATTATATATCTTAAAGGCTGTTTGGGTTTCTTGCTTTATAATATTTATTATTGAATGCTATAACCTTTTAAAAAGCCCATTTCCCCCATGTAATACTCTTGCAAGCAAATGCAGTGGCTGGAATGTGATTCAGTGTTGACTGTAGAAAAGTCAGAAGGGAGTCAGGCCACCTTGGAAGGCAACCTGAGTCACACTGCACACCCCAGGACTCTGTTACAAAAAGAGCGACTGCTACATTCGCATTATGATATTTTTCTATCTTATATTTGTCAAAAATAAAGTGTGAGTCTATCTGTAAAGAGGTGGGTTATTAGAGTTTGTTTCAGACACATGTATGTTCTGTTGGGCAGAACATAAATTCCCATGTGTGGAATACGGTAGCTGCTGTGCAGGTACCAAGCTATTGGGAGCTTCCTTTCATTTTACCATTTCCAATGGTGACATTGACCTTCTGACTTTCCTGGTTTTACCTTCCCAGTGTTGAGATTACCAGCAAGCAAAGCCCAGTCTAATGTGATGCTGTGGACTGAAACCAGGGCTTCCTGCACGCTAGGCAAACTCTCTACCAACTGAGCTACACTCCCAGCTGCCATTGGGAACTTCCCAAATTACCCCAGCAGTTGGATTTAAAATGATAAAACAAACAACAACAAAGAATTTCCAGCAAAGAAAACTATAAAGGAGTAAAGTACCATCTCCTACTGAGGAATGAAAACCAGCTATACCAGATAGAAGTACAAATGGAGATGGAGATAGACTAGATGCAGCAGCCACCAAAAAGGAATACAAGAGAGGGACCCTGACCCCAAGGCTGCTCTTGCTAGCCAGCATCTTCCTGAAAGGCTCAGATAGTGGCATCTTATATTTTTCTGTTATTTAAAAAAACCGAAACAACCTAAAAAGCAGAAGTCAGGTTTTGGCTCATTGGCAGGTCTCTGCAATCTGGTGAACAAACGGAATTAGGGCTACAGCTGGTCCTTCTCTCCTGCTTCTTCCAGGCAATCAGTTGCTTTCAGGAGCGCCACCAAAGTCCAGAAGTTGGAAGTGGATACAGTAGAAAAATCAGAATTGCAATGGGCGTTTTAAAAATTAAAATAAAAAGTGCTAATTTTGACACCAGCATGCCAGAGGACAATGTCCTGCTACACCATTGTAAAGCTGAGAATTAATTAAAAGCAACAAAGTTGAAGGAATCCTGGGATTTCTTTTTATACCATCAAAGAATAATTTTTTATTGCACAAAATTCCCCTTTGCACAAAAAAACCCACAAGTGTGGGTTTGCACAAGTTGCAAAAAGATGAATCCTTTAATGACAACAAACTTGATGAAACATTCTTTTAGAGTGCACTAGAGAAATAGAAGAGATCAGGGCATTGAGAAATTCATGATTGTGGGGGTGGCTAGTATGAAATCTGTGGCAAACTCAAGAATGGCCCCTGTGCTGAAGTCTTGAGGCAGAATTTCCTCCAGAAATCTTAGTGTTGGCCCTAAGGCTGAAAACTAACTGGAAGAGGCCTATCCGTGTTAATGGAGGGTAATTTGGTTTACTGAAAGTTTACTTACTAGTTTTAAATGTTAATTACATATTTAAGATGTCCCCAACTACAATCTAGTCAAGTTGGAGGTGATTATGGTGACCGGATAAGAAAACCCAGAAAGACTTATCACGAAAGTTCTGTCACACTATTTAGACAAAATTTGGGAGTCTCTACTTAAGGTCTCTTGGGAAAAGCACACAGTACACAAGAGAAGACAGGTAACAAGCTGAGGGATGAAAACTAGGGAAGGATAAAAAAAGACATGCTAAAATTTGAAAGCAAAACCACCCAGCATGATAGCAATGAAGAATCCCTGGGAAAAAGTACATCACAGGGTCACAAGTCAGTGCTGGGACCCATTCCCTGGTTAGTAGAAGCTGGCAGGTCAGACCCCATTCCCCAGATCCCTGCACTGTCTTTAGCTCTCAAGATCACTGAAGGAACCTGCTACACACTGCCCTCTCTCAACACTGTAACTTTTCTCTGAAGTCCAACAAGGTGTCATACTGTCATTCTTGGTGCTGGCCTCCTCTCTTTGAATGCTATCTAGCTCTCAGCTAATGCTTGTAGCATGGGTCAGTGAGAAACAGTGGGGAAAGGATGGGCAGGGCTGCACAGATGAGAAGGTGGCTGCACATTGCTGGAGAAAGGAGCACAGCTGACTAGTGACCTAAACTCCTCTAAGAGCAGTCACCCCTTGTCATGGGGCCTGATACTCTACATCTTTGATAGCAATGCTCAAAAAAACAAACAAACAAACAAAACAAAACAAAACAGGTGAAATTCACAAATCCTAATCTAACTGACAGAAGTAGGATTTTTTGCATATTTGGGGGATTATTTATTTGAAGGAGGATAATTAATTAATTTGAAGGTTATTTTATTTTTCGGAGATAGGTTTTTATATAGACCAGGCCGGCCTCAAGTTCTCATGAGGTTGAGGCTGGCCTTAAACTTCCTACCTTCTTGTCTCCACTTTTCAAATGCCAGGATTATAGGCATACACCATCACACCCAGGTGTGAGCTTAGGAATTTTTTTGATGGCACCATCTATAAATTCACTGACTCTTAGCTGAGTTTAGTCCACTGGTGAGCCAGTCAGAGGGATTCTTCATTTATTTTTCTTGCCATATTTTTTGTTATCAATATCTATCATTTCTTTTTGATCCTTCCCTAGTTTCCATGGATTTGCTTCTGATCTGTCTGTTTTTGCATACTGTCTGCTTTTTTTTTACGTGAGAGACCATAACATAGTTATTTGTAATTCTCTTTCAGATAATTCTTTTTCTTTTCTGTATTTCTTCCTTTTTTTTTTTTTTGCCTTTTGAAACAGGGTTTCTCTCTGTAGCTTTGCAGACCAGGCAGGCCTCCAACTCACAGAGATCCACCTGCCCCTGCCTCCCCAGTGCTGGGATTAAATGCGTGTGCCTCCACTGCCCTGGCCCGATCAGATAATTCTAAAGGCTGTGTTGAACACATCCCATTTCAATGTAGATACCTGCTTTGTCTCTTTAGACCTACTTATTTTCTTACCATTTGGCACCCCTGTTGCTATGACTTTCCCTGAGGGGATATGAACAGATATTATTCATCTCAGATAGGGTACTAACCATAGACCTAAGAAATGACTCCACCCAAGTCTAACTTAGTGAACTAATGGGTTTCTTCCATGGAGCAGGAGAGAGGGGTTACAGGAGATTGAATGACTCAAAGATAGTTGTATCACCAAAGGCCCACCTAGCATGAGTGATGACTCACAAAGATGTATTCCTAGAACTCTCTGCTCAACTTGCATGCTGAGCCTCTCAAGAGTTCCCTCTCCCCCAGCAATTATTTATATCTTACATAAGGTCAGGGAGGGCCCTAGTGAGTCTTATAACTTACTTGTGAATTTTAGTTCCGGAGGTTCCTCACTACCTTTTCTAGAAGGGGATGTTTCAATTTGGAGAAAACAGCTACACAGCAATAGTTAATTATTTTCTTGTGTAGAAAGCCAAATGATTGACAAAGCTGGAGGATAGAGCTGAGGCAAATAGACCTCTAAATGAGAGGTGTCATGTTCACAGGGCTAGAATTGGGCTCTGTACTGTTTGCAGCAACTGTAGTGCTAGACTCCAAAATCTGTACTTGTTCTCTCTCTGTCTCTCTCTCTGTCTCTCTCTCTCTGTCTCTCTCTCTCTCTCTCTCTTGTCTTCAGCTCCTTCTGCTGCAGTCCAGGCATTATAATGGATCCTTGTTGGTGTGGTTATAAGGTGTGGGGGCAAGAGATGTGCTCTATAGAAGTGTGTAGGGACCATTTCAGGGTAAATGTCATTGCCTTCTTGTCTTAGTTAGCTTTGAAAACTTGACACAGCATGTAGTCATCTGAGAGGAGAAGCCTCAAATAAGAAATTGCCTAGATCAGATTGGTCTTTGGGCATATATGTAAGTGATTGTCTTGATTATTAGTCATAGGCAGGACCAGCCCATTGTGGGTGACACCAGTCCTTAAGCAGGTGGTCCCAGGCTCTATAATGAAACTACAAAACATGAGCCAGCAATAAGAATTCCTCTATGGTTCTTATCTTTAGGTTCTTGCCTTTCAGTTCCTGCCTTGAATTCCTTCAGTGATGGACTGTGTCCTGGAAGTGTAATGTGAAACAAATCATTTCCCCTCCACAGTTGCTTTTGGTGAGAGCATTTTATTCCAACAATAGAAAAGAATATAAAACATTTTTCTATACATATAATTTCTTTGTGTTGAGAAATTCCAAACTCCTCTCATATAGTTATTTATACATCATATAAGTTGTTGTGAACCATGGTCACCCTGGACTG